AGTGTTCCACCCCACAAAATCAGAATACACATTCTTTTCAGCTGCACATGGGTTGTTCTGCAAAACAGACCACATACTTGCTCATAGAACATGTTTAAGTAAGTCCAAAGGAATTGAAGTTATCCCCTGTATATTATTAGACCATAGTGCAATGAAATTGGAGATCAATAGCAAAAGAAACCATAAGAATTTCATAAACACATGGAAACTGCACAACACGCTTCTGAATAACTAATGGGTCATAGAGGAAATTGAAGAATATCAAACACTTCCTACAACTAAATGACAATGCCAATACAACATATTGGAATCTATGGGACAAAATGAAAGCAGTCATACAAGGGAAATTTATAGCAGTGAATACTCATATTAGGAAAACAGAGCAAGCTCAATTACACAACCTAATGCTGAACCTCAAGCTTCTAGAAAAAGAAGAGAAGGACAAACCTGAAGCCCATAGAAGGGAGGGAATTATAAAGATCAGGGCAAAAATCAGTGCAATGGAGACTAACTTAACAATACAAAAAAATTAATGAAGCCAAGAGTTGGTTCTTCAAAAGAATAAACAAAATTGACAAACCCTTGGCCAACCTTATCAGAAAAAGGAAAGAAAAGGCCCAAATCCATGTAATTAGAAATGAAAAGTGTGAAGTTAAAATGGACCCAACAGAAATCCAGAGGATTATCAATACCTACTTCAAGAAACTATACACCAATAAGATGGAAAATACAGAAGAAATGGACAGATTCCTAGATAAATGTTAATTACCAAAGTTGAACAAAGATGACCTAAAAATTGTAAATGACTCAATATCAATCAATGACATTGAAAACATAATTAAAAACTTACCAACTAAGAAAAGCCTTGGTCCTGATGGTTTCACTGCTGAATTTTACAAAACATTTAGAGAGGAACTACTGCCACTATTATTTAAACTCTTCAATGAAATTGAAAGGGAAGCTATATTCCCCAATTCATTCCTGGAAGCAAGCATCACCTTGATCCCTAAAGCAGAGAAAGACCCAACCGAAAAGGAGAATTATAGGCCAATCTCACTAATGAACATAGAAGCAAAAATCCTAAGTAAGATACTGTCAAACAGAATACACACGTTCATCCAGAAGATCATACACCCTGACCAAGTGGGATTTATCCCAGGGATGCAGGGATGGATCAACATATGCAAATCAATAAATGTAATTCACTATATTAATAGAGTGAAGGACAAAACCATATGGTCATCTCAATAGATGCAGGAAAAAGCATTTGACAAAATCCAACACACATTTATGATAAAAAAATAAAACCTCTCCAAAAAATTGGAATAGATGGTCTCTGCCTCAATCTGATAAAAGCCATCTATGAAAAACCAACAGCCGATATCACACTAAATGGTCAAAAACTGCAAACCTTCAAACTAAAATCAGGAACAAGACAAGGATGTCCATGACATGATACTCTGTATAGAAGACCCTAAGAACTCAACCAAAAGTCTTCTAGACTTAATAACCAAATTCAGTAATGTAGCTGGATACAAGGTCAACACACATGCTTTTCTGTACATGAAAAACAGACTCACTGAGAGAGAAACAGGGCAATCGATTCCTTTTACAATAGCATTCAAAAAATTGAAATACCTAGGAATCAACTTAACAAAAGAAATCTACTCTGAAAACTATAGCACTCTGCAAAAAGAGATTGAAGAGGATATCAGAAAATGGAAAGATATCCCTTGCTCCCAGGTAGGAAGAATCCACATAGTGAAATGGCCATACTTCCAAAAATGCTATATAGACTCAATGCAATCCCAGTTGAAATCATAGCAGCATGCTTCTCAGACCTAGAGAAAAAAATCCAAAAATTCATTTGGAACAAGAGACTCAGAATAGCAAAAGCAGTTGTAGGCAATAAAGACAAGGTAGGGTTATTACAATCTCCAACTTCTAACTGTTCTAAAAAGCTACTGTGATAAAAACAGCATGATCCTGGCAAAGAAACTGAGGAGCAGTGAACAGATTAGAAGATGCAGAAACAACTCCAGAAACACTCAGCCACCTCATCTTCAACAAAGAAGACAAACACCCTCACTGAAGGAAAGATAGCCTCTTTAATAAATGGTGCTGGAAAAATTGGGTTTCAACTTGTCAAAAATTAAAACTAGAGTTATATCTCTCACCATGCACTAAACTAAAATAGAAATGGATTAAAGATCTAAATATTAAAACAGAAACACTAAACTGGCTGGAAGAGAGGTTAGGTAGAACTCTTGAAGACATTGGTGTAGGAAAAGATTTTATGAACAAAA